GGATATGGCAATGGCTCTTTTGCAAATCAAACGACATATTCAACTGGCTCTAACCCACAAGCTGTAGCTGTTGGTGATTTTAACAACGACAGTCGACCGGATCTCGTCGTCGCTAATTTTAATGACGACACTGTAGGTGTACTACTTCGGTATGACAGAGGAGCTCTGAAAGATAAAATTACATTTGCGCCTGCCGATGGTTCTCGTTTGCGAAGCTTTGCCATTTTTGATTTCAATAATGATAGCCTATTGGATATTGCCGTTGTCAATTATGGTACGAATAACATAGGTGTCCTTCTTGGATATGAGAATGGCACTTTTGGAAATCAAACGGTGCTCTCAACAGGCTTAAATTCTCATCCTGACTCAATCGCTATCCATGATTTCAATAAAGACGGTCAAGTGGATATAGTCGTGGCCAATTATGATAGTAAAAATCTTGTTACGTTTCTTGGAAGTGGAAATGGAACATTTGAAAATCAAGGACGTTACGGTATAAATTTTGATTTTGCTCCACTGATGATTGGTGCTGGTAGTTTCAACAAAGATGGGCGTTCAGAAATTTTCGTTGCATATGATGACATCGATTATGTAGATGTGCTGGTTACATACGACATCGGATCTTTCAGTAATCACATTAAATATTCAACTGGGAATTGGCCCCGATTTGTAGCTCTTGGCGATTTTAATAACGATACCCAACTGGATATCGTCATCACTAATCAGTACGACAACACTGTAAGTATCCTTCTCGGATATGGAAATGATTCTTTCACTAATCAAACGACATACTCAACGGGCTCTACCCCATGGTCTCTAGCTGTAGGTGATTTTAATAACGATACCCATCTGGATATCGTCGTCGCTAATAGACGTGACAACTATATAAGTGTATTTTTCGGTTATGGTAATGGCTCTTTTACAAATCAAACGAAATATTCAACTGGCTCTGGTCAATTATCTGTAGCTATTGGTGACCTTAACAACGACGCTCGAGTGGATATCGTCGTCGCTAATAATGACAACACTGTAAGTGTCCTTCTCGGATATGGAAATGGCTCTTTTGCAAATCAAACGAAATATTCAACAGGGTATAGACCATGGCCTGTAACTGTTGTTGATTTTAATAACGATACTCGATTGGATATCGTCGTTGCTAATTTTGGTGACAACACTGTAAGCATCCTTCTCGGATATGGCAATGGCTCTTTTGC